ACACACACATGAGCACACGACGGGATTCTTCGTTAATAAAAAGCGAGAGCAACTGGGCTCGGATGAATGTACGTGATGCATTAATTTGCATAGTTTACGAGAAGAAAAGGAGATGGATTAAAGATCGAGAGAGATACAGCGATGTGCCTTAAATGAGAAAACAAATATAATGATCTGATCTATCGAGCGATTTGCGAGCGTATTGTCGCTTCTCGTTTTTTGATCGTATATTGCAACGCGTCTGTAAATATTTACGTAACAAAATATGACAATATGTGTGGCGCGCGCTCAAGTCTGACATTTAAAGACAGAGAAAATGCTGCGCATAATTACCGTCATTTAATGATAGCTCGTTGCGCGCATCTTTCCCTATCTATAATATTATACACTTACCAATTTGTTTCAAATTTTTATAAATTGTTTAATTGCAAATTTTGCAAACTAACAAGACTTCCATTCAGATTGACCCCATCTTCACACTTCGGCTTTCTCAAAATTTTTCAGACACGTCGGCATACGACATCACAGTTATTTTATTGCCAAAAGAAAAGCCAAGTTGTGTCGATAAATTGTTTGAAACGTAAAATGCGACGCAATCACACGCGTAAATTGCGCGACGCAAGAAAGAATGCACTAACAGTCTGTATTTCGAAGTGTATTTCGAGAAAACGCGAAGCTTGAATTTCTTCATGAGTCGTCCTGCACACGCAGCGATGCGCTTAAGTGCGCATCGGTCAGGAGTGTTTCAACACCAACCGCCGCACGTTATTGCAAAGTTCAAGAGTATACTTTTATTGCTTTCCCTCCCGCGCGTTCCCGACCACTTTCACTTCTTCTCTTCCTGCCTTTTTAAGCGCGCGTCGCGAGATTAGCCGCAGAAATGCAGGCGTTCGCGATGAAAACCTGGTACCGGTTGCACGTGAAATCGATAATCGCCGCAGCCACGAAACGGCCCCGAGTGTATCCCGGGATATTGCATTCCGTGGCGACAAAGGTCGAGCCTCTCTCGACTGGTCGTCTTTGCGTTCGTCGCCACGCGCGAACTCTCTCTCTCTATTTCGCGATGCGTCTCTCCTTTGCATCGTTGCAAGACTTTATTTCTTGCCCATTTACGGCAGACAATTACGAAAAAACTCTTTACGGGTATTTTTCATCTTTTGCGACACAGTACTCGAAAATACCAGCGAAATTATCGACTTTTAAGAAACCTTATTTTTAAGAAAAAAATAAATACATATATATAATAAATTTTATTGTAATCTTTATATTGTAAAGTTTTGAAAGAATGCATTTAAATAACGATTTAACTGGCAATTTGTATTATATAACTCATGCGTACATCACCGATTGACACGAAGACGCGGTTTCCAATGCGTAACAATCTCTAAACGTCAGCGTGTTTTATGGCATCGTATTCCGTTCTCAGATATCACCGTTTCGCTAGAGTCGAAGTTCCTGAAGGCCATTTCCATCGACGGGAAGACACGCACGGGGAACTATAAAGTGTGAGAAAAGATCGAAGCGAATCGAATCGAGGTCGATAACTCCGAACGAACGCTCGATAGATCCAATCTATACTCTATACGTTCATCATCTCGATTTCCATCCGTGATTTTTATTGTTTCACTTTATCGATCGGCCATGATCCTTATTGCAGGATAGATGCGGAATATATGTATTAGGCGCGCGGAATTCGCCGTATCCATTCAAATCGATCGAATTCCAGATCCGGTCAATTTTGCAACAGTCGTCAAACGATCTCGTGACAGATGCCTTTTGTGTCTACGAATTTTTATGCGACACGGTTACATGCGCAAGTGCAAGTAACACGATCTAAAAACGGATTTTGTGAAACACGATCGCGCTGAATTTCTATCGAACAGGTATTTACGTGAACCGAAAGGAAACTCGACGCTGTGTCGCGATAATTAAATGAAAAAAAAAAGAAACAAACATCTCGCGGACAAAAGCAGAAAATAGACACTCTAATCAGTGCACATTAAGCGAAACTTTCAAGATAATACGTACAACGTGTCACGTAGAAAACATAAATATTCATGGCCCGCTGTGGGCAACGTATGACTTCACGTATGAGCTGCGATAAATAGAAAGTTTCCGATCTCTCGCGAGGACCGCAAATAGCGATAACTGTTGCAAACTAATTTTATGGATCGTTTATTGTTGGTATTTTCAGTGTATTTATAGTGATCGTTTGCAACGCGAAATCTTGCCACGGGCGAAACGAAGAGCCAAAGACATCAATGAGGATCGTGAGAAGTCTTAGCTGCAACCGCACTCGCGGTCAGTGTATATGTATTTTTTTTTTCTTTTGCCGAGTATATAACCACGCGAAGGGAAGAATGATTTTACGAGAGCACGATCTCGCGCTGAAACGTATATAAAGAGTGATTTATGATCGGTAGAAGTGGACGGGACGCGGGAAGAGGACGCACCCTCAGCGTGCACGATTCCTCGACCCTTGAGCCGCGACGCGTAATTTATGCGCAACGCGCACGGGGTGTCGTTTTTCAGTTGCGCACATTTACGAACTTCTTATGCGCACTTTTGGAGCGGAGAAACCGCAAGACTGCATGCGAATGTTTGATTTTTGCGGTCTCGATCTCCGCGCGTGTCGCCGCGCCATTGAAATTGTCATTGACAATGTTTGTCAAGAGAGTTTGTGGAAAATTACTTTTATACATGTGGTGTGATTTATTTTTATAACCTCACCATTCCGTTACGCAATTTACTTTTAACTTGGATAGAAGATTTAATTTGAATTTTTAGGTTTGATAATTTGAGTGTTGCATTAAAGAAAATTCTGTCCCTACCGTTTCGCGCCACTGTTTGTAAATTGTTTAGCTCCGAGTCAATTTACATCAAGTGTTTTTTTTTTTTTTGCACTCGAGAACCCACCGCGACTACAACAAACTATTCTACCGGTCCGGAAAATGCCGGGCATTCATGACGAAACAAACATTACCACAAAGCGCGCCGGCACAATAGAACATAAAAGACTCTCGCATCTGTCGTTCTCACTGCCACGAGGAGGGAAGGGAGAAACGGCATTGACCTGTCGAAAATCTTGACGGCGCGTTTAGCGCGAAAGTTTACAGCTGCTGCCAGATGATTCCCGCGTGGAACGAGAAAAGCGAGAGCTGTGCGCGATGCAATCGATAGATCATATACACGCACGCATAACACAGCGTTGAGAGGCGATTAGGGTGAATGGCCGTAAATAGTCTTCGTAAACTGCCTCTTAGATTATTATTACGGCATCGTAAATCTCGTACGACACGCTCTTGCGGAGGTATTTTCATTAGAGTTAACTATACATAATGAAATTCCACATTACTTTCTTTTCACGTGCTACAAAATTGGATTTGAAACGTAGGCACATCACGCGCGAGGATTTTTTTTTTTTCTTGTACGCGATGCTAATAATGTGTTACACAGATTTCTTATCTTATGCAATTCCCGAGACATTTGTGTGTTACTGTGCGACGACGAGCAAATTATCCGCGGCGAAATATCCGCAAGTCGCAGTTTACGAAAGTAGCTTGAGCGCACACCGCTTTGACGAGAATTGTATCGAATTTGTGTAACGAGAGAAAGCGCTCGAGAGTAGCCATTCAGCCAAATATAATTCGGGTAATTATTAAGAGAATACGAGGCAAAGTTATAATTATCGCTTTGTGCGCCCGCGGAGTGCGAGCGCACAACGAACAGCCTTCTCCCCTTCCTACATTTAATTCGACGTTACTCGCTCCAGTAGGTAAAGAGCAAATGCGCGAGACATGTGTGTCGCGGTGCAACGAGAGCGTTGCATTGATATAGAAAAATACGACACAAAAATTACACACTCTGTCCGACACACTCGAGTTTCATTTGGCTCGCGTACGGCTGCACCACTTGCGACCACACCTGGCAACTTATTTGTTCTCTCTTTAAGCTGTCGATTCTATAGCGGAATTGGATTTGCAACCACGAGCACGAGTAGTAAATATAATTACTAAAATACAGTCACGTGAGTTTAGTCACGTGAAAAAATAGAAACATATGATCATATAAGATTACACATAAGTCAATTTACCGTAAAACTTCGGATCTGATTGTTTATATGTTCATATGTGTATTTCCTACTTTTTCTCGGGTAGTATATTAATTGTTGTTGTCCGGGAGTCACTTCCTCGTATACGATATGATAAACTAATGTGTTAAAAAATTATTCTTTTAGTAGTTTCTTTAGTAGTTTTATCTTGTTTTGTTCTTAACACTTTCTACTTGTTTAGTTAATAAGCAGCCAAGAAATCGAGCAACAATCATCGCGAATCGTTTTCTGAAACCGATAGAACCTATCGTCTGAAAGTCATAAGTCTTTTTCGCTTTTTTAACGCGACGTCACTTCTCACCTTTCTCCTGAGATCCGCGGAACTCTACGCGTTAATAGTTGCGTGTCGTACGCGCGTCGCCCGGTTATTCCTGGACACAAGCAAAGCGTTTATTTTTCTCGACTTAAAAGGTTTCGAACTGTGGGGTCTGTACGCGCGCGCTCTAATAAACTCGGCTCGGCGTTACGCGCACACATCGTCAGAGGCCGTAAATTCTTCAGGCTGAAGAATCCTCAGCACTCTCGATGGTAATGAACTTCTCCCGAGATTATTCATCGAATCTTTCTCATGCAGTTCAGTTCTTACATACTTACATACTTTAAGCGATTCGAGAACGACTTGCTCACATCCGGAAAACAAACTTTCCTGGAAACTGTCCCGCAAACTTCCTCGGCTCGCGAAGACAAACGAAAGTGAGATAAAACCGAGATAAGTGTATTAAAAATTATAGGTTTTTTTTTTTAGAAGACAATGTGGTCAGCAATTCCAAGAGTTGCGATGAATCAAATCACTTCGCGCGTAAAAAGTCATATAAGATACAATCACTGGAAGATTGTATAGTAGATGTTACGTAAATTCCAGTGGCATTGAGAACCTTGTATTGAACACATCATAGCCGGACTAATCTGAGATTAGCTTTTCCTAAGAAACAATGTTATTATTATTATTATTATTATTATTATTATTATTATTATTATTATTATTATTATTATTATCGTATCCATTAGCTTATCTAAACCGATCCATTTCCGAGATCGCAACTTCTCTCAGAGAAACAAACAGCGATATCTTAATTCACGTGTATCTGTTCAGCTTCTGCAAACTAAATATATCCTATCTGATTGCGAGCGAGTGAGATGGTGTTTGCGATCGGACGCGTTATATACCGCGAGATAATGACGACGGGCAACGCATACGTTAGATGAAACGTGTGATAAAAGTTATATCGGTCGCTATAAATTTCCACGCGCGAACGCGCCTCGTCGACAGATTGGATCGCACCCTGGCGCGGATACGTCACGGTTGGATTATCCCGTGGAACTGCTTCAATTCCCGACGGGTATATCGCGAAATATCTGCAAACCTGGCCACGGTCGAACACATATATTTTCCTCGTCAGTATTCAAATCGCGTCCCTCCGTCCCACGGTGACCGGTAGCGTCGCGGATTCTACAATCGTGGATTATGCGATCCGGATTATTATTTCGCATTTCGCGACGTCAATAAAGTTATTTTTTATAAAATAAAAAAAGACTTTTAATAGAATTCTTCTTATGAAATTATTTTGCTTTTCCGAAATGAATTCTGATTGGCGATCTCGCATGGCAAGTTCCACATCCACATTAATGGAGAGACCAATCAACGCGAACGAGTAACAAACACCTACGACCGCTGCAGGTACGAAAAAAAACTCCGTGAGATTTGGTTTGACGAATTACGGAGCGAATCAAAATGCAGTCGCAGATCCAATCGCAAAAGAGTCACGAGTTGCTTTTACGCGTTGAAGGCGCGAGAGACGGGAGGGGTAAAGAGGGATATCGACGTTTACATAAGCGTCTCTCTGATGTAATTGATCACGAATGCCGGTGACTCTCGGGCGGACCGGTGCAGCGGGAGCCTGTAGATTGTATTACGGTGCGATTTATGTCCGCTGGTGATTCGCGAAGGAGAGAAAAATGCTCGTGGAGCGCGCGAGCGTGGGATACAATCAGCTCGCCCCGGCTTAATTGTCTCTATAGAGCGCGCGCGCAGCCTGTAATCCGTCTCTGATGGAGTTCGGTTTAACGAGCATCCGAGTAAAAACAACTACGGCCGTTCCGTCGTGACCGCGCCCATATATTCCGTTGAAATTCCCAGGATAGATAATATTCCACGAGTGTCCTGGCGGCGGCGAACGCGCTTTCGTTTAAGCAGCGCGGCATTAAAAGCACCCGCCGGGTTTTGAGCGCGTGGTGGAGAGTTCAAGTACACCAGATTACTCTCTTTGCGAGGACGGGGCAACCGCACGCGGGTGAAGGGAGAGCCTGCGGGGTAATTCGGCTTTTGCATTAAAAGCCGTTTCACCTCTCTCTCTCTCTCTCTCTCCCTCTTTCTGCTCGGCTCAATCTCCTGCTAACTCTCCCGCTCGTCAGGAAGCACTTATAGTTGCACATCCAATTATGCTTTCTCTCGAAGTTTTCAGCCGTTTGATGCAATTTACTCCGCGCGCGATCGTACATATTCACTCGCCCACTAAATATCAGTTTCCGAAACAAGTCGCTTTTCTCTTCCGATTGTTATCGTGGTGAGGGAAAAGAAGAGATTAAAAAGCAACCGGTCGGTGAACTTCCAACGAAGCGCCAAATTATCCGTGACACGCCAAATAGCGCGTGTCATCGTGAGCAACCCAAGCTGAAAGGGAGAAAAAGGAACTCGCGCTCGTCACATTATCGTATACCTCGCCTATACCGTGGTGCGGTATACACTTTATTCCAGCAGCGGCGGATGGGGCTTTAACGGTATATTCGAAAACGAGTCACGTGGCCTTCCAGGAGGCCTTCACGTACCGATATGTATATTGGGGCCTCGCAGCTCCGGGTCCGTCCGCGCGTTCGTGCGACACGAATAATAGGCTAACGGCGAAGTATATATTGCACATGCCGGTGTGTCTGAATATCATGCTTTGTCACGCAAATAAGCACGGACTCACGGCGCTAATACGCCGCCGTGTACTCACGCTGGATACATTTATTACACAGTGTACGGGGCCGCCTGCGCCGCGGAGAATGCGTCCGCACGAGATGCGAGAGATCCCGCGCACGTAGGAAAACGATGATTGATGCGCCGTGCCGGGAGTTATTCTGTACGTACTCCGTGCGCACGCAGAGAGCGCGACGGTAATGCAAATGTGCGCGCGAAAGAGAAAGAAAGAGAGAAAACTTGTACAAGTTTTACTGTGCTAAATATCGGATAGAAACGGTCGAAAATTGTCAATTACGGTTGGAAAAGCTCGGACGACAAATGACCGCTAATGAATATCGCAATTTTGTCTTAAAGCGCGTCCTCATCTTCCTTGGCGGTATATTAGTCTTTCTGACCTGTTCTACCTTTTACGAACTGTGCGTTATTCTCCGCACGAATTGCGCAGATCTGGATTCTTCGATCAATCTTCTTCTTCTTCCCTTTGTGTGTACGCGCTTAGAAAACGCAAGTTGCACATACGATCTATTTTCGCTCGCCGAGGCCGCGCGAGATTTCATTCAAGGTTGAAGAACCTCCGCGCGCAAGATCCTTTTCTTTCTTTGCGCGATGCATCGCGCACGGCGGCGCGATCGGATCAAGCCAGTCCGTCGAGCGATCCCGGTGTTACACCTTCTTTCTTGAGTCATCGTTACTGACGGGGTTATCTGCCCGCGTGAATTCCTGCGGTACGCGGAGCCGCCTTCGCGCCACCCGGCGCGATACCGATCTCGCGACCATTGTCCCACATATTGTAACATCGGCGTCAGACATCCTGTTTGACATGTCGCGCGGCTTGATTCGCGCGCGCGCGCATTAATTATCCGTCGACGTGCGCTGCCGATGATAATCTGCGAATAATGGGCGTCTCTCGCCCACGTTGAGGCACGCGATCGATAACAGGAACACGTAGGTTTCTTTTTATTTTCGCCGACGCTTTTCTTTTCGCCTTGACATTTCGCGTGTCTCTTGCGAGCAAGCAATGCAAATTAATAAACAACCAACCAAGTATCTGTCGTAAATATATCAGATATTATAAGTAATTTTCCAGTTCGCCGCACAGAAGCACACGACTTTGAAATTACTGCATTTTTGTTCATTATTATTCTTGACATGCCTGCTATTAAAATGTATACACAGTACAAATTAGGTAAGCTTCAAAGATTTCCAAAGCAAACTTCGAAGAAAAATACGCATTGTTGCACGCTAGACCGCCGGGGTTTCTCCCCCTCGACGTTAAAGAATAATCGCGTTGAAAATAAAACGAAAATGAATGTCGCTTGTTGCAAGCGCAACGAAGAGATGGCTCGGGCATCTGCGAATAATTAGATACAGCACGGTATTACTCATAAACGTCTTCCTCGGGGCTCGTCATTCCGGCGGGACGCGCACGCCGCGCGCCCTGCGCGCTATATTTATCGTAACGGACGTATACGGAGTGCGTAATAGAAATGCCGCGCGCACGCATGACTGTCTCATTAATTAAGCGCAAAATCTACGGGAATTTTCTTCGAAGACCGTGTGCGCGCCAGGTTCCGTCCGCGCGGGAAAACGAAAGCGAAAGGCCGGGCTAAGAGATTGTTTCGAAGGATAACCGGCGCATACATACCTGGCGCGATACATACCCATACATTATGCAATTGCACCAGTCCGGGCAAATTGAGTATGAATTTTAATAAGATTCGCGAGTGGTACTTGTTCCCGCTCCTATGTGTTTAAGCAACGAGCGGTCGTCTATTACGCGTGCCATTAAAACGTACGGCGCCGCGGTAAATGACAACTTATTCCCTCAAATGAAATCGCGTTGATTTTCTCCGTCCGACGTTTTCTGTGCTGAAGAATCGAAATTACCATATTGTGTATTCGAAGGTCTCAGAACACAGTAGTTTGTCTTGCACCCATAGAGCGCAATTAGTTTTTTTTTTCTTCCAGTTTCCACGTCTTCCCGTGATCCGTGAAATCATCCGCGGAAACACGGCGCGTCGCGGTTACGTCGCGTCGCGATTACGTCGCGTCGCGATTACGTCGCGTCATGCAGTTTCGTCGCGCGAACTCCCGCGATTACAATCACGCTATCGTGCTCGAGCGAGGGCGCGTTTTATCTTGAAATAGCACGGTGACGTGCGCAATTAAACTGCGCGCGAACGAGTGCAGTGCGATTTTGCGCGACAGCTGTGCGCGTTGAAATGCGCAAAAACAAAAAACAAAAACCAAGGGAAGAAAGCGAAGACTGCGCGAAAAGCGAAAGAGAATAATGGCCGGAGTAAAAGGGATAGAAACGCGGCGGAAGGAGAATGTTGACCAGGCCGCAATACGCTAAAAATATATGTGCAAACGGCGATGACTCCGCGCGCCTCCCCGACATCCAGCCCGAATCCGCTTTTACCCCTCGAAATTATTCGGCGCGCACCTTTGACGAGGAATCTCTGGCGCGCGGCTCGAGAAACGAGCGAAACAAGGGAGGAAAATTCCGCAACCAAATCGTAGTTTCGTAAAATAGCTGCTCGCGCACGCAAGCAGCCCGCAAATATAGTTACCGTGGGTAACTGGAAAGGAATCCTTCGCGAGCGCGCGGTAAAAAAATGATTGCTTTGTTACTCCCCCGTTTACTCAACAACACATTTATCTCGAATTAGGAGAAGCTGTACGAGTATTTTTACCAGTGCGCAAAATGGTACAATTTTCCGTGACATTTCTTTGATTGAAGTTCGAGTTTGAATTGTCTCGACGAAGGGAAAATTGTATCTCGTCGGTTGTGCAACCGACAGACGCGCAATTTACAAACCTCCGCGGACGACGCTTGTCATGTGATTTCGCAAAACAATATCCCAAAAATATTGGCGACACGCGCTCGCTGTCGTTCAACGTAGTTTGATTCACGCTCGTGTGCGTTTTCTGAAAAAAATCTCTGCGGTCTCGAACTA